GGAGGGAAGGAGGGGGGGGGAAGGAGGGGGGGGAAAGGGAAAAGGGGGGGGGAAGGAGGGGGGGGAAAGGAGGGGAGGGAAGGAGGGGGGGGGAAGGAGGGGGGGGAAAAGGGGGGGGGAAAAGGAGGGGGGGAAAAGGGGGGGGGAAAAGGAGGGGGGGAGGGAAGGAGGGAGGGAGGGAGGGAGGGGGGGGGAAAAAAGGGGAGGGAGGGGGGGGAGGGAGGGAAGGGGGGGGGGAAGAGAAAAGGGAGGGGGGAGAGAAAAGAGGAGGGGAGAGAGGAGGGAGGGGGGAGGCAGAGAGGGAAGGGAGAGAGGAGGGGGGGGGAGGGGGGGGAAGGGGGAGGGGGGGGGGGAGGGGGGGAAAGGAGGGGGGGAGGGGGGGAGGGAAGGAGGGGAAGAGAGGAGGGGAGGGAAGGATGGAGGGGAAGGAGGGAGGGAAGGAGAGGGGGAAAGGAAAGGAGGGGGAGAGAGGAAGGAGGGGAGAGAGAAGGGAGGGGGGGAAAAGGGGGGAAGGGGAGGGGGAGGGGAGGGGGGAGGGGAGGGGAGAGGGGGGGGGAGGGAGGGGGGGGAGGGAGGGAGGGAGGGAGGGAAGGGTGGGGGGAGAAGGGAAGGGGGGGAGGGAAGGAGTGGAGGAAAGGAGGGAAGGAGGGGAGAGAGGGGGAAGGAGGGGAGAAAAGTGGGAGGGGGGGAAAGGGGAGGGGAGAGAAGTGGGAGGGGAGGGAAGGAGGGGGGGAGAGGAAGGGGAGGGAGGGGGGGAGGAGGGAGAGGAGGGTAGGAAGGGAGGGAAGGAGGGGGAGAGGAGGGGGGGAGGGGAATGGGGGAGTGGAGGGGGGAGAGAATGAGGGGATTTTTTGGAGGGGGGAAGGAATGAGGGGAGTGGCGGGGGGGAGAAAAATGAGGGGAGTGGGGGAGAAATGGGGGGAGTGGAGGGAGGGAGGAATGAGGGGAGTGGGGGAGGGAGATAATAAAGGGGAGTGGAGGGGGGGGGAAAGAAAATTTGGGGGGGAGTGGAGGGAGGGAGAAAATGGGGGAGTGGGGGGGGAGAGAATGAGGGGAGTGGAGGGGGGAGAAAATGGGGGGAAAGTGGAGGGGGGGAAGGAATGAGGGGAAATGGGAGGGATGGAGGGGGAGTAGTAGTAGCAGTATTCATGTAGAAAGAAATTTACTTAAAAAAGGGTTTAATTGGGGGGGACACCTTAAACCCCCCCCCCTCCCAGTGTGTTTTGGTTGTGTTGTTGTCATTTTAACTTGGCAGACCTACCAGCAGAAAAGGACTTTTCTCCCCCTTTCCCCATAGAGTCAAGCCAAAAAATTTTTTAGCAAGGGTTTTTTCTGCTAAATTGAGCGGGAAAATTATATGTTTCTGCCATAAATCTGAAAAAATTATTTTGAACATAAAAAAAAAAATAAAACTTCTTTGGATTTTATGAAAATTTTTAAGGGAAATCTAAACGGGGACCTATGACTATTTGGGTAAATTTGGGTTTTTAAAAAAAAAAATAAGGGTTCGATTGGGTTTGAGGTTTCTAAGTTATGTTCGTTTAAAAAAAAAATCTAAATTACTTTCAATGAAAAAATGTATTAATCGTAATTTTTTTTTTTTAAAACCAAATTTTTTGGGGAGTTTGGAAACCCAAATTCATCAATTTTGGCTTTTATTCAGTGGGGCCCCAAATTTACGTTTTTATTTTTTCCCAGAAGTATGTTCAGGGGCCGTACCGACCGAATTTTTTTCCCAAAAAGGAATATTGTGAATTAGTTTTGTCCATTTCAGACCCCCAAACATACACATACAAAACCCCACTTACATGAAAACACTTACTTTAATTTGGGCGCTTTTGGGGGCGATGTAAAACCCGGGGGGCCAATGTATATTTTTTATTTATTTAAACACAAAAGGCAGTCTCCTACCCAGGAGGGAGACCCAAAAAAAACACATTTAAATTAATCGTTTTTTTTTTCCAAAAAAGTGTGCTGAAACACAAAAGCTTTTTTCCTCCAATTGCAACATTTCCCAAACCCCTCCTTTAGGGAATTCAAACCCTGCTCCTCCCCCCTCCCAGTAAAGTCCGGGGGCCCAACCCAAATTTCCCTGTATTTTTTTTTTTTTTTCAATAAATCGGCCCGGGCTCCCACCCAGGCAGGGGGGACCAAAAAAGAAAAAAAAATCCCCAAAAAAAAAATTCTTTAAAACATCATTAACACTTTCACCTCCCAAAATCACAATAAAACATTGGTTTTTTTCAGAGGTGCTCGAACCAAAAAGTTTTAAAAAGCATAATTTTCGTAAAAAAGATACACAAATATCCCCCCAAACCCGTAATTCTGAAAAACCCCCCTTTTGAGTGCAGGCATTGTACTTCAAAAATTTCCCAGGACTCCCAAGGGCCCCTATATAAAAATAAAAGGGGTTTTCCCCGAACCCTTCACTAAATAATTAAACCCCGCTCACACTCCCAACCCGATCGTTTTGGTCCCCCAAAAACCAATTGTTCCATTCCCCTCCTATTTGAACCGCTCATTTCAAAGCCTGATATTTATATTTCAAAGTATATAAATTTTAGTGTGTTTATTATTAAATTATTGTAAACTTTCTAAAAATATATTTAGCTGGAATTTTTGGTAATTTTAAAATTTTGCTTGTGTTTTAAAGGGTTTGGTTTAAATTTTCTTTTGATTCTTTAGGGACAAAAAATTTTTTTTTTTTAAAATTTTAAAAAAGAGGAAAAAAAAAATATCTTTACCCATTTTAAAGGGTTTTTTCCCCCGGCCTCTCCCAGTTTTTTTTCTCAGGGTTGCCCAAAAATTTTTAAAAAAAAAAAAAAAAAAAAAAAAAAAAAAAAAAAAAAAAAAAAAAAAAAAAAAAAAAAAAAAATTCTTGTGAAAAGATAGAGAATCTTTTCCTGATCATAATGACAACAGAAGTATGAAATTTGATGAAAAACTTACGGAATTATGCTCTCATGAAGTTAGCGGCCTCAACGATGTTATGCATCGGCAATTTTGCCCACTTTGAGCCCTATTTTCGGCCAAGTCGAGTGTACTAGTCGACAAAAATCATAACTATTTTGCTAGAACTCCATTTTTTTCTATCGAATGAGTACAAGAAACCACCCATTTACCGATTTCAATTATCCAATACAGGGGTCAGAATTTAGCAATTTTGCCAATTTCACACAAATTTCAAAAGATGCCAATTTCCAAATAGGGTCCAGAATAAACAAGAAAGACATTCCTGGCACTAAAATAACATTTCCTCTGTTGATTAGTCATGTCCCCATGCCCCTCTTACATTCTTCTGCTTTCCACTTTGAATTTTTTATTCTCACAAAAAATAGAAGATTTACTGTTATGCAGACTACTGCATTAGTGTAGAAATGATATAAATAATATCGGCGCACTTGTGAAAGAATATTAGACTCACCAGTTGACGTGTATTGGACGCTTAGCATGATTTGTTTACTTTTGAACTTTGGTAAAAATCGAACATTTTTGTTACTTTGAGCTCAAATTCAAGGTACTTTTCATTGTAAAACCAATCAAAATCATCTCAATTTCTGTAATATGTCTTCCATTCTGTAAAATGAGACCAGGAACACTAGAATACAACAATAAATACCATACAAAAATACAGTGCAAAGTCGCTGTTTTAATCCAAAAACACAAAGTTTTTTTTCTCATTACGCACTGTGTGCTGCAGGATTTTTTTTTTATACTGCGCACACTGACCACATAGTCCCATTTTTTCATATGTAGGCCTACCAGCTTTCTCTCACTAGATTTGAAGGCGCTAGAATTTAGGCGTACTAGTACGCCAAAAACCCTGGTGCGTAAGCCATACTAGTAGGTCCGAAACCCTGAAAAGGTTAAACGTATAAGAGAAAATTTTAGAAAGGACTTAATTTTAAACGAGTTCTTGCTAATTGACCAGTTTTACCTATTCAGCAGCAATGCTGCTCTCCAAGTAGTTTATAGAAACTTACCTTCCTTCTATCCCTTCATAGAATCGTGTTATAGCATGACTTCCAAACTATTGTTTGGGGACCATGAAATTGACTCATGTGAAGGTGTGCAACAGGGAAACCCTCTTGCCCCCTTTTTATTCTGTTTGGTCATCAAGGAAGTCACAGAAGCACTCTCCAATGAGTTCAATATCTGGTTCTTAGATGATGGTACCCTAGCTGGCACAGCAGAATCTCTCCTAAAGGACATCAGAAAAATAAGACATGGGAGAAAGCCTGGGCCTATCTTTAAACCCCACCAAATGTGAAATAGTTTCTACCAATCGACAGATGATCCAGAATATTAGTGCTGTTTTACCAGGAGCACAAGCTATTGATCCAGCCAATAGCACTCTCCTTGGTGCCCTCTTCGATCCAATACCATTGATCTGATCCTAGAAAAAAAAGTCTGAGACCTCTGGGCGAGGAAAGG